TTTTTTTTTTCTATAAATATAAAGAATGAATAGAGATATAATTGACTAGTTTATTTTAAAAGAAAAACAAAAAAGAAACAAGAAGAGAAACAAAAATCAAATGACATCTTCACGATTCAAAAGTATTATTTGATGGAGGATAGTAAAATGTTGTACAAGGAGAATAAATCGATTGATCACTTATCGCAGGCGATTGAATTAAATAACAACATGGACAAATAGTTGACATTGATGAAGGTGTTGGTGTATAGTAATAAATTGGTTGTATCGACTAGAATTACACAGTTAATAAAAGTAGAGGAAAAAAAATATATAAAAAACTTACCGTTGATGGAAGTGGTGCAGGTGGCGAAATAAAATTTGGTCTACCCGATGCTAACTTTGGATCATTACGCTATGAAAATATACAAGCTGTGAGATAAACATAGAGAGTAGATACTTACTCGTCGATTAGAAAACCAATCTTGAATTTGTTTCGATGTTCGACCAGTTAATTCAACAAGTTGTTGACGTTCACTTGCTGATGGATATGGATTTTTATCATAAAATGTAACAAGAATCGATCGTTGTCGTGTATTAAGAGGTTCACGTGTGTGTGATTTTGAAGTTGACATTTTTTCGAAAGTGTTCAAAAAATGAACATTTATCTATCTCTTCTCCAACAATCCAATAACACCACTTTCAGTTAATCCTAATATTAAGGATATTAATCATTCAATGTTAATATGATCTACTTAATTGAACCAATTAAGGACAAATAGGAAAACAGAACAATTAAAACAGTTATCCTCTTTCTATTCTATTGTCGATATTCAATATAGAAAAGAACACAACAATTATCATACATAAGAAAAACATGTACAATTGTTATATATTTCAGACAAAAATAGTTATCATTGATTGATTCTAACAAATGAGCATAAATTTTAGAAACAAAATGCTCTGTTAATTGATTATGAATAAATTCGAATAAAATTTTTTACTACAGTATAAAAAAAATAACCAGAAATCTATTCTGATTGATTTTCTTTTCTCAAACTAAGAGTTGTATATCAAATCGAGAAGCATAGGACATTTTATAATAGAAAATACAGGCTAAATTTTGTCACTTGATCGAGCAAGTCAAATACAGCATACAAACATCGAATATAGACTATTAGAGATACTTTTTATCGGTTTTGTATCATCAGTTTAATAGTTAATGTACAACAATCTGAAAGTTTTTGAAAAATTACAGAAGAAAAAATCAACGAAGATTATAATGCTTGTGAAAATATGTCACTAACGAATGTTTGGATTGTTGCAATGTTAGAAAATTTCAACAACCAGGAGAACTCGTTTGTTTTCTTCTTTCAGATGGAATCTCTTTCCATTTAAATGGTTTATCAATGAACATAAAGTGAAAATCTATGTGTATAAGACGTACACAAAGATGTAGTCGAATTTAAAATAAGAATTGATAACGAAAACGAATTATTGTGTATTTCAGTGTATGGTAAGTCGTTCAAATATTTATTATAAACCAAATCATATGAATACTTGAACGAATATACTATCATATTTAAAAAAAGTCAAATTAAATCATTGAAACTGCTCAAGAGTTATTTACGTAAACTTTTCGGACGAACTTTCTCTTGGATAACTTTTAATAAATGTAACTAGTGTATTATGGTCAAAAACTTGTTTTCTTTGTTCAAGAGTTTATTATGTTTTATTTAATACCGAACGAGGACGATTAGGTTTTTTTTTCATTTTATTGTTCTGATTTTTATAGATGATGATAAGAATAAATTATATATCCCTTTCCAATAAAAAGATCATTGCCAATATTTACCTAGAAAATCAAGGATTTAAAAAAAAAAACTTTTCTGATATTCAAAAAGACTTTTTTTTTAGCAAATAAATACCGGAAAACTAACATTTTTACTAGAAAAAAAATAGTAATTTTCATTACAGAAAAATGGTGTTTTATTCAAAAATCAAGTTTTAAAGTACTGAAACGGCTCAAATCCTCTGAATTTCCGAAAAAAATGGTATCGGAAAACCAATAGGTTTCTATTAGATCTTGTAAAATTTTTCTTGATCAATGATTTCTATTTGCAAAAGGAATCACATACAACAATTTAAGGTATAAGAGATTTATAAACTATCTTTTAATAGATTTTAACAACCGTAAGACTGTCAATAATGTTAATAGAATAGAAAAAGAATATGGATTCATATATTATAATAGCAGAATTTTGAAGTATATAACTGTTCTATTAATATTCTTGAATAGTTTTAAGTTTTTTTCTATCTTTACTACCTTAGATTTTGTATATAAACAAGTTAAACGTCCACAAAAAATAATACATGTCGTTATTTATAAAGATTCTTAGGCGGATTATTTTGAGTCCTAGAACGAGGCAAGTGATATTCTATGGTAAAATATATAGTTGTCTTTAAGAGTTGTACGTGTACTTTTTCTTATTTCTCTTTATTTGATGAGTTTTCTTTCTAACATAGTATACAATACGGATAATATTTCTCTGCTAAGTAAAAATATTGAACGCCCAGTTAATTTATAGTTTCTCAGGTATAAAAACTTTTGCCAAGTTAAATATTTAATATCTACAGTCCTTTGGACTCAAATTCAGACGGAAAGAGGATTTGTTTGATCACTTCTCGTGAAACAGTTTTTCCATTATTTTATTGCCATACTTGGATGTTTGCTAGAGGATACTATTAGCTATCTAATGGTATGATATTAGTAACAGACCATTGGATTGGATTTCTGAAAAGGTTAAAAGAAAATATGTTAGAAAAAAGGTGTGACATAAATTTTTCAAATTTTCAAATGTATATATATATTTTATGTAAATAACTGCTTTAACGTTGATTAACTGCTTCTATTTGTGTTAAATTAGTATCTGCTAACATTAGATTAAATATAGCCAATAAAGTAGTTACATTATCACGACAAGTTGATTGAACATCTTGATGTGACCATTTTATATCATTTATCCATTCTATCAATTTAGCTCTACATCTCAATGTTTCTTGTCAGCGTGCAACTCGTTGTCTTCTTTCATTTGCCATCATTTGAATTGATGATGATGATGATGATGATGATGTTTTGCTTTTACGACCACTAGAATCACCATCATTATTGTCAGGATCTCTATTTTTATTGTAATAAAGCAATTGATTATAATTAGATGAAACGCTATTAGCAAATGATAGCTGCTGTGTATAAGTAAATATATAATCAAGAAAAAGATCAGAAATACGTAAGACTGGTATAGAAAAACTCAAAATACTATAGGTCTTATCTATGCATGGAATGAATCATTATTTCTATTTCTCAATAGCTATCGCTATTTGAAATAGCATTGATTGTAGCGTGTCACCGCCTCTATACGACTATAGTCACAATATATAATAAATACCTTTTATTACATATGAAAAATAAAAAAGACTAAAAACTACCCAAACGGAAAAAAATCAAAATTTCAGTCTGAATTTGAGACCAAAGGACTGTAAGTAAAATTTGTTTTTTTCTAAATTAATAATTTGAAATCATAGTTATAAAACAAAGTCACTAAGTAAAAACTTATTACCACTAAGTAATTTCTAATAAAGATTAAGTACGATTACCTAAGATAGGATGAGTTTTTTATGATGGTATGGTGTATACATTTTTTTCTATCTTTATTTCTGTCAGTATTAAACTATCCTCGTGATACATACGTATATCACCTATATATTTCATTTTGATGTCATGCATGAATGCACACGTTTTTTCGTTGAATACTCCAATATAATGTTTCTTTTTTCTGGTTTTTGTTTCTTTTATACGCGATCTGTTTTGGATTTTCAAGCGTATATTTTTTGGATTTTCCATTTTCTAGTACGTTCTCACATTCATCCATCTTTTTTGTGTAAATTTCTACCGTTGAAAGTTTACTTCAAATTTAGGATGTGATTGTGGGTGTGGATACAAGACTGTTTGTAAAATGAAGACTTTTATTAACGTTTGAAACTCATATCGACACACACACTCTGAAATCAAGAAAACTCTCCGTTAAAATTAACATATGATGGGTCCCAATCTCTCTCACTGAGGGTGAGGGCGGAAAGACACACGGAGCATCGCTTTAGAGGGTGGTGAAGGTTTCAATGTCCTGGAAACTCGTTTGATTTACAAGAGACTGATTTCATTTTCTATTATGTCTCACTTCCCAATAAAGTAAAAAAAAAGAGTTTCTCTGGAAACTAATACAATGCATCGAATTAAAATTAAAGTTGCTGAGAATCCATTTCAATTGGTTCGTGTGCATGAGAATATAGGTTTAGGATGTTGCTTATGTTGGTTTTGGTTTTCTTTTCAAAAACTTTCCTATCCTCAAGCCACATTTCAGTAGAAAAACCAGACTGCTATTGTTCCAGCTGTTTCAAAGAATACATTGGCAAAAATATTATTGTCATGGATATTAAGTTGAAGTTTTGCAAACCATCTCCATGTACTTAAATGAGTGCCATACAATACCGGTTAACCGTAAAACAATGAAGAATTATGCAAGCGTAATAAAATATTGATTATTGAGTTAATATTTTCTCAAAGCAAAAGTAATAAAAAGCTTAACTATTTCTATTTTAAAATTAAAAAGAATTTCAATCATATTCAAGTAGTATTTTCTTCTATTGAATATTCATCTGAAAACAAATAATTCGACATTCTAAAGAAAAATCTTGTCTTGTTTCTATTCATTCGTTTTAATTGACTGTAAGATACTATGATGCCTAAAATTATATACGATGCCGTCGAAGGTAATCACGTATACAGTTAGAATTTTTTCTTTCGTCTTTCAACTATATAAATATATATAAACACATGACAATAATTAGTAATCGTATGTACCTTTTGGTCCAACAAATCTTTTTTGTTTTCAATTTGTACATTGATGATGTTTTTTGGTAATAATGAATGTGGATATCTTCTCTACATTCAAACTGACACACTCAAACTAACTCGCAGTCATAATAAATATCTAGTATTCTAAAGAATCAACGTAAATTTTACGATTGCTACTAATGGGGTATCTATGATCCTTATATCTTCACGTATATCTCATTTTTATTCGTGGAGTTCAAAATTTTTGCGGAGAGCGTGCTCATGAAGAATGTCAGATAGTTTTCTTCTTTGCTGAGTGACCTACGAAATTTTTGTTAAAGAGAACCGACACAAAGCTCTCAAATCTGAACAGTATCGATTCTTTCTAAATGTTCAATGGCTGCCATTTGATGAATCACGCATAATACCCCACACATGCTGATCGCATCATTCATGGCTTCCCATGTCTAATCATTAATGAGATTTCTTTCAGTGTTGATTTTAAGAGACAACTTTCAAAACGGTTTCCGATCATTTTTTGAATATTGCTTATCAACATTTTCGATGTTATATACTATTCCCATGTGATTGTTCCTGTTGTTTTCTTCTTATATGCGCTGCACGATTATTGGTTGACTATGTAAGGGAAGTTAGCGAAGTATTCGAGTTTTTTCTAGATCGATTCGCACAATCAACTGTGCCAACTACGGAATGTTGTGTGCCAGATAGAGTTCAATGAGCTCTATCGAATGGTAGATTTACTTCTGAAAACGAAACCCACAACAAAGAAAAAAACCATAAAATATAATTTTTCATCATGGGGAAAAAATACAAAATAGATATTTTCAAGAAATATTCGATTCACGACTTGTGCCACTTTTCAAACTTGAATCAATCGATGTAATTTAACGAACTCTATCGAATGATATATATAATTTGTCATTACACAAATCAAACTTTAGCATAAAAGTTTTCTACAGTCTTAGATTTGTGCTGTACTGCAACAAGTACTCCAACCAATGACTCATAATGTGAATTCTATACTAAACTCGTATCAGCCAATGAGCTTCGACCATATGTCTCGATTGATATAAAACACATCATGAAAAACATTAAAATTCAACTTCTATCATTGCTAAAACTTTTGCTTGAATGAATTAAGAGGGAGTATTCACTTAACCGGTTCGTAGAGGAGTGTGTGCCAATGACGTGACATGTTGTATCTAATGTATCTCGATCAGCTCTATCGATTGATATATAATATGTTTTGAACATGATTCAATTTCAAATATTAGAATTGCTAAACTTTGTTCTGGTATGAGTCATGTTGAGTATTTCCTTAACCAGTTCGTTGGACAATTTGTGCCAATGACGAGACATGTCGCATCTGATGTATTTCGTTAAGGCCTATCGATTGCCATATAATATGTTATGAAAAGTGTGCAATTTCAAATTCCACAAATGCTAAACCTTATTCTGATATGACTTATGTTGAGTATTCCTTTAACTGATTCGTTCGACAATCTGTGCCAATGACGAGACATGTCATATTTTTATGAGGTTCAACCATCAAATGGAACATATCTTGTCATTGGCACAAATTGCCCAACGAACTGGTTAAGGAAATACTCACTATAACTCATATGAGAACAAGGTTTAGCAATTCTAATATTTGAAATTGAATCATGTTCAAAACATATTATATATCAATCGATAGAGCTAATCGAGATACATTAGATAGGACATGTCACGTCATTCACACACACTCCTCTACGAATCGGCTAAGGGAATATTCCCTCTTAATTCATTCAAGCAAAAGTTTTAGCAATGATAGAAGTTCAATTTTAATGTTTTTCATGATGTATTTTATATCAATCCAGAGATATGGTCGAAGCTCATTGGCTGATACGAGTTTAGTATAGAATTCACATTATGAGTCATTGGTTGGAGTACTTGTTGCAGTACAACACAAATCTAAGACTGTAGAAAACTTTTATGCTAAAGTTTGATTTCTGTAATGACAAATTATATATCATTCGATAGAGCTCGTTAAACTGAATCGAATGGGATTATTTTCCCGTGTGGCACAACTTATGTAACGAATTGGGATATGAAACACTTCGTGAAATGCTAATTTTAGATGTACACCAAAATATAAATCTTCATTGATTCAATTTATCAGGGCTTATTATACACCATTAGATAGAGCTTGTTGAATTACATCGATTGATTCAAATTTGAAAAGTAGCACAAGTCGTGAATCGAATATTTCTGGAAAATATCTATTTTGCATTTTTTCCCCATGATGAAAAATTATATTTTATGGTTTTTTTCTTTGTTGTGGATTTCGTTTTTAGAAGTAAATATACCATTCGATAGAGCTCATTGAACTCTATCTGACACACAACATTCCGTAGTTGGCACAGTTAATTGTGCGAATCGATCTAGAAAAAACTCGAATACTTCGCTAACTTCCCTTACATGGTATGTAGTCGTTGTCTCAAAAAAATAGTCATTTGTGCCAAAAAATGGTTATTTGTACCAAAAAAAATGGTCGTTTGTACCAAAAAAATGGTCATTTGTGCCATGTTACCGACAAAAACGATATACGCGCAGACAGATCAATCCCCGTTTCTAGACCCTATCCTTACAGTGTAGGGAACCTCAAATTAACATTTGCTAATAAAGTATTGCATCAAATGCTTTATGTGAAATGGAAGTCAGTAATAGTTTCTGATATAGGTAATTAATCATTTTTTTAATAAAATAGATTCTTTATAGAAATTTAAATTGATTTGTTATAAAAAAAATCATCGAAAGTGATGTTTCTTATAAAAAAAAAGAGCTTTTCTGATTTTGGT